TGGTAAGGCAGAAGCTTAAAGGATTTGAAGGCACATAACTATAGCAACATGTTCTAGTCAACTTATTAGTACACCACACCTGCCACCCTCTTCCCCCGACCACCCTAGGGCTGGGCATATATAGGGTAAAACCGATAGCCCGAACCGAATTGGTTTATTGGTATCGGGATATTGGAATAATGATTCGATAACGGTTTGATATTATTAGACTACTGGGTTATCGGTTCGGGTCTCGGTTTGGCCAATTTTATTAACAGTTTAACCGATAACCCAATAAGCTATATCAAAACTATAATTTTACCCTTAATTATATAAAGTCACCTTAAGGTTTCATTCTCTATTAGTACTATATTTGGATTTCTTAATTTTTAAGGTGTAATTGCTACTACTATTTTGTGTTGTTTCTATTGTGTCTGGACAACTGGACTTGAGCAAATCTCTTAAATTCCTTATACGAAAGCAGCTTTTGTGATTACCATTGTCCTGGTTTTTCAAAGCCAGCAATTGGCTGTCGGATTTCGTCCCGCAACTAGAAGAATATCGCTTCGGGGTCACTGTGGTGTGACTGAATGTAGAGCAATCCGCCCTTACCGCCTTTGATCAGTAAATTATTTAGAACTTCGGAAGATGGTCAAGGTAGCTTGCTTCCAAGCGACTGAGTACATGTGCCACTTTTCCAAAATATATTGTTACTCTTGCTACAATTGTTGGATCAATGCATTTTATGGTATCAGTAAATTTAATGTTTCTATCTTAAACAATATAACACACGTTTGATGAAGATTAATAATGAGTTTTTCATTCATTGTCTTGGTCGGATGCAAGTTAATATGGTGAAGTCATCCTCTTTTATTTCATAATCTCATTGATGTTCATTTGAGTATGAATATGAAAGTATATTTGAGCAAAGTTTGCTATTTATAATTGGACAAACTTTTTGACGAGGGTAGACATGTGTTCGTGAAACTTGTGTTCCCTCTTTAAAATATAACTGAAAGGGGTCAAGATTATAAGATCAATTAGTGTTATACACTATGCTTTTTCGCTCTAAAATTGAGTTATCTTATCGGGTAAACCGATAACGATTGATAACCGATTAACCGATACCCGATAACTGATATACCGAACTAATAACATTCACAATCAAACCGAACCAACCGATACCCACCCCTAGATCACCCCAGCAAAAGACACCACTTCTTCATGCCCCTCCCTGTAGCATTTTCTCTCTATAACTCCCTCCCTCGTACACAATGACACATCATACATATGCATCTACATATATATGCACGTGGGTGAAAGAAAACTTACTAGTGGCCATTGGTGGGTGGTAGTAGTTTTGGTGATTGAAATATATGAGATTTGGTAATAGTGGAAAGGTATATCTAGTACAAGATGAATAAGATAGAGATATTTGTGTAGTATAAGAAGAAAGAATAAGGATATGGGTTAAATGAGCGTGGGTATGTTGGGTAAGGCCTGTGTAGATTACTTTCGACAAGCATACATTCAGATAACTAATGTGTACACATCATACACACATTAGTTTTGGTGATTGAAATATATGAGATTTGGTAATAGTGGAAACAGGGGCGGATCTATGTAGACAAGAAGGGGTGGTCCGTCACCCGGTTGCTCGGGTAAAATTTCCTGTGTATACTGACATTTCACGCAAAAGAACGTAGATAAAGAACGAGTGGCACCCGGATTAACAAAAGTGGTTGTGGGTGCCATGGTTTGAGGGCCAACTTTTCAGCCAAAATACCTGTGATCGACACTCATTTCACGCTTTTAGCATTCCAATTCTACTTACCCCTTTTTATCTTCCTTTTTCTTGTCTGTTTCTTAATTTCTTTTACTTTTTTCACCTTTGTAACTCTCTTTGTGCAATTCTATTTTTATTATTTTCTTAAATTATAAAGTTATATTTGCTTTTTTTCTAGTTTCTAGATCACAAAAGTTTTATATGTATTTAATTTTAGTTATTTTTCTTTTTTATCCATCTAATTTATTTTTCCTTGATAAAAAAAAGACAAAATTTTTTTGTATGGTTATCATCTAGGTATTTATGCATCAAAATTTTTGTAAAGAAAACCGAAGTAATTTCAAAATGGATCGAATCGAAAGGAAGTGAATTAATACAAAATGAGTCAGATCAAATTTACATCCCAATTTAATCGCTTTGATTATTGATAAGTTTACATTAAATCTGGTGGCACCCGCATCCATCAAATTCTGGATCCGCCTCTGAGTGGAAAGGTATATCTGGTACAAAATGAATAAGATAGAGATATTTGTGTAGTATAAGAAGAAAGAATAAGGATATGGGTTAAATGAGCGTGGGTAGGTTGGGTAAGGCCTGTGTAGATTACTTCCGACAAGCATACATTCAGATAACTAATGTGTACACATCATACACACACACACAAAAAAAAACAATTGCCATCAGAAAGTTATTTTTCAGACACACACATATAAATATAAGAGACATGGATGGGTAAAAGTAGTTTGAGAAATTAAAAGATGAGGAAAATGGATAGGAATAGGACCCCGGGGGTAAGAACACAAGAACACAGCATGTGATGTGTGGGTTAGGCGTATGTTACAGGTTCAAACCAACCGCAGACAAAAGCCTAGTATTTAAGTGGACACGAGTAGAGGGATAGGCCCATCATCCACCATGTTTCGAGCCACGCATTAGCTGGCCCTTGGGGACATTGTATAAGAACAAAGTATGAGGAAATCAATTAAATGGGTTTTGGTAGGTTGGGTAAGTCCAATAGCCATTTTCTGAAAACCCAATTGACACCCACCTTTGAAACCCTAGACCACAACATATTATATCATGAGGAAAAAAGTTTGTTTTGTATTGTATGCTCCCAAACTATACAATTCTTAATGACCAATTAGAAAGACTTAGGGAATCCATAGTGTCAGTCATAGGATCAATAAAATAAATGAAAATCCATATTAAAACATCTCCCCTCAGACGTGGATATTTACATTCCATTGAAATTCTTAGGTACAACACCGAAAACAAGAAATAGAAAACCAAAAGAAAAGACAATGGGAAAAAAAGTTGTACATACTAGGAAGGCAAGGTCAAGCAATACGGTTTGGTTACTTCCAAATTTCGTAAATAGCAGGCCACCAGGATGCGACTGTAAAGCATAAGGTAAGGCAATCAGAATCACAAGCCAATTTCTTTATCCTGAAGGAATGCGAAAATAACCGTCACTGCATACTTTCTCCTTTCGGTTGTCCGACTGGGTAAGGGATGCTATGG